CAAACAGCATATGATACCTCCCACCAAGTCCTCAATCGTTCTCTTTCCTGGAGTAGTTCTGGCTTATGGTCCTGTGTTACTTCCACAGCTCTGACAAAATCATCCTTGGGTCATCCTGAATTCCAAGAACCACGCCTGAGTCACCCACGTGAGCTACATACATCTTCATGCCCCGTATGATGACCACACTGGCCGTTGTCCCTGACGTGCTGGGAAGACCCGTCATAGTCTTTGGCCATTCTGCTGTAATACGAAATAAAATATTTTACTCTTCCAGGTAACTTATGTTTTATTCTAATACAGTTTATGTATCATATGCTGAGTTAGCATTATAAAATTTTAATTAGCATTGGGAAAAAATTTTTAAATATATATCTTTATTGATTTCAGAGAGGAAGGGAGAGGGAGAGAGAGATAGAAACATCAATGATGAGAATGATTGATCGGCTGCCTTCTGCACACCCCCTACGAGGGATCGAGCCCACAACCCAGGCATGTACCCTTGACAGGAATCGAATCCGTGACTTTTCAGTTCGCAGGCTGATACTCTATCCACTGAGCCAAACTGGCTATGGCAGTATTGGGAAAATTTTTTTTTAAATATTTTGAAAGCTATTAAAGGACTTGAATTAATCCTTTCATCATTACAGAATGGGGCAAAAGTAGGTTTACAGTTGTATTAAGATAATAAGTAATAACACAAGAACAAACTGTTTCATATACAACTGTAAACCTACTTTTGCCCCCACCCCCTGTATATCCAGGGACAATGCTAACATAGCCCTAACAAGACTTTTATGGAAAAGCTGTAAACCAGCAGACTAACAGAACACAATAGTGAGCACAAAAACAGACCCGTGCATATTTTGAAACTTACAAACAATGGAGAAAGGATAGACATTTAATAATTGGAATTAGGACAAGAGAGAGAGAGAAAAAAAAACAACTTTGGGTCCCTGATGCCAAACACAAAAAATCAATTACAGGTACATTAAAGGCCTAACATGAAAAGAAAAATTAAAATGCTTTAAAAATATATAGGAAGGTACAATCATGATCTTAGGGTAGGGAAGAATTTCCTAAAGACAAAAGAATGGACTAGCCATATAAAAAAAAATAACTGCGAAGTTGTACTACCATCAAATTTAAAAATTTCTGTGTGTGGGGGGAGCGGGGGAGATTACCTGAAGAACTTTGAAGAGTCTTCTAAACCATTCTTGGGTTAAGTGGGAATTATATGCATATAAATAGATTTAATAAAAGATCCCTATCTCCCCAAATCTTTTGTTTCCTCTATATCAGTGGTTCTCAACCTTCTGGCCCTTTAAATACAGTTCCTCATATTGTGACCCAACCATAAAATTATTTCGTTGCTACTTCATAACTGTAATGTTGCTACTATTATGAATCATAATGTTAATATCTGATATGCAGGATGGTCTTAGGCGACCCCTGTGAAAGGGTCATTCGACGGCCAAAGGGGTCGAGACCCACAGGTTGAGAACCTCTGCTCTATATCATTGTGCTTGTTTTCTAGACCTGCCTTAACAAATTACCAAAAATGTATTGTCTCACAGTTCTAGAAGGCTAGAAGTCCAAAGTCAAGGTGGTGAGTGGCAGGTCCATTATCTATACTCTGCGTAAAAGCTCTGAGGGAGAATCATTCCTTGCCTCTTCCCCTTCACTGGCAATTCCTGGTATTTACTCTCTTATAGACTTCTCACTCTAGTCACATGGCTGTCTTTTCCCTATGTGTCTGTCTTCACATCATCTTCCCCTGTGTGTCCCTGGGTCCAAATTTCCTTTTTTTTTAAAAAAAAAATCTTCACCCGAGGAGGGCATGTTCATTAATTTTTAGAGAGAGGAAGAGAGAGAAACATCAATCAGTTGCCTCTTGTATGCGCCCCAACTGGGAACCAAACCTGCAACCTAGGTATTTTGAACCTGTGACCTTTTGGTATACTGGCAGACACTAAAACCAAATGAGCCACACTGGCCAGGGCCAAAGTTCCTCTTTTTATAAGAATACCAGTCATATTGGATTAGGGCCCACCCTAATAACTTTATCTTAACTTTATAGATTGCCACTGTAAAGACCCTATTCCTGCGTGAGCTGGTTTGGCTCAGTGGATAGGGACTCAGCACAAGGACTGAAGGGTCCCAGGTTCGATTCCAGTAGCCTGTAGGGGTACATGTGGGAGGCAACACAATCGAACTGTCTTTCTCACATCCATGTTTTTCTGTCTCTCCCCCTTCCTTCTACTCTCTAAAAATCAATGGAAAAATATCCTCAAGTGAGAATTAAAAAAACAAACAAAAAAGACTATGTCCAAATAAGGTCCTATTGTGAGGTACTAGGTGTTACGATTTCAACAAAACTTTTTTTGGAGGGACACAATTCAGTTCTTCTTCCTCCGCCCCCCAAATTCAGTTCTTAACAGTCATATCAAATCATTTGTTGTTTCTAAGAGTTACATGGGGTCTTAGGCCAGTGTTTGCCTAAGTGTTTGCATTAGTTGACCAGAAAAGTTTTAACCACAGTTCTAAACTAGTATGCTGACAGCAGACTATCTGCTTACTGTTTTCTTTATTGATGAATTCAGCCCTATCTCACCACTCCATACATGGGCTGTTTGCTTACCATCTAGAAAATGAATGAGAGTCCTGATGCCTTCTACCTCTTATTGATTCCATGACTTACATTTTTCTGAGGGGCAGTTGCCTGCAACCTACTCTTTGGAACTAGTTTTGTATTACAGGTCTTTGAAAATAACACAAACTGACTCAATCTACATTAAATAGGGAATTTATTGGAAGGACATTAGGTAGTTCACAGGTGTCAAATAGAGAGAAGGATACCTCTGAGGTTCTAGTGATAGAATCTGGTGGACACTCATTGAAAGGTTTTAGCCTCTGGGATGAATCAAATCCAACAGAAGGTGAATGGGTGCTGGACAAGTGTGCACTATAATATCTATATAAGAAAAGCCTAAGTGACCGTTACAGCGGAACCACCAGTCACTATGATGCACACTGACCACCAGGGGGCAGATGCTCAACACAGGAGCTGCCCCCTGTTGGTCAGTGTGCTCCCACAAGGGGAGTGCTGCTCAGCCAGAAGCCGGGCTCACGGCTGGCGAGAGCAGCAGCGGTGGAGGTAGCCTCAGCGGCCTCCATGGCAGCACTAAGGGGCAGCGAGCTGAGTAGTAAGCAGCAGCAAGCAGGCAGGCGGTAAGGAGCGAGGGGTCCCAGACTGCGAGAGGGATGTCCGACTGCCAGCTTAGGCCCGATCCCTGGGAGCGGGACTAAGCCAGCAGGTGGACATCCCCCGAAGGGTCCCGGACTGTGAGAGGGCACCCAGACTGCAAAAGGGTGCAGGCCGGGCTGAGGGAACCCCCCCCCAACCCCCCAAGTCACGAATTTCGTGCACCGGGCCTCTAGTTATAAATAAGGGCTAAAATAAAAGCAACATAGCCTTTCCTTTCATTTGGATTATTTCTTTTTTTTTTTTTTTTTTAATATTTTTTTTTTATTTTTCGCTTAAAGTATTACAAAGGGTATTAAGAAAAAAATTCTCAAAAGCTGAATTATTTAAAGATAATCTTTTTTAAAAATAAATTTTATTGATTTTTACAGAGAGGTAGGGAGATAGAGAGTTAGAAACATTGATGAGAGAGAAACATTGATCAGCTGCCTCCTGCACGCCCTCCCACTGGGGATCCAGCCCACAACAAGGTACATGACCTTGACCAGCATCAAACCCAGGACCCTTCAGTCCACAGGCTGATGCTCTATCCACTGAGCCGAACCGGTTGGGGCTAAAGATAATCTCTTGATGACTGTTAATAACATTTTCAAATTGCTTTCCTAAAGGCTTTTTTATATCTTCACTAGAAGCCCATTGCACAAAGATTCGTGCAATAGGCCTTACTTCCCCTGGCTGCAGGCACCAGTTTTCCTCTGGCACCCAGGACCCAGGCCTTTGGTCCAGCCACAGCGAGGCTTGGCTTCTCCACTGGGGCTGCAGCAGAGAAGCCAAGCCTCTTCAGTCTTCAGTCTTCAGTCTTCACTCCGGCTGGAGCCTTCAGTCTTCACTCCTCGCCTGCGTATGCAAATTAACCGCCATCTTTGTTAGGTTAATTTGCATAGTTGCTCTGATTGGCTGGTGAGCATAGCAGAGTGACACCAATTTGCATGTTTCTCTTTTATTAGTGTAGATACTTTGGCATTAGAATTCTGTAAGAACTCTTGGCATAATGATTAGCAGTATGATATATTGACTGGGTTTGAATCCCAGGCATCTCCACTTATTACCTGTGTGATTTTGGGTAAAACTTTTGTGCCAGAGTATCCTCCTCTCTAAAATAGAGATAATGATAGTACCTACCTCCTGAGAGTTAAATGACTGTATGTTAATTGCTATATAAGTATCCCAAATTTTAATTTATCATGTTCTCTATTTAGAATAGCTTTACTTCATTCAAAAATGTTATATTTTTATGTTATATAATGTATTAGGCCCTAGCCAGTTTGGCTCAGTGGATTGAGCATCGGCCTGCAGACTGAAGGGTTCTGGGTTCGATTCCTGGTCAAGGGCACATACCCAGGTTGTGGGCTCAATCCCCAGTGGGGGGTGTGCAGAAGATGATTCTCTCTCATTGATGTTTCTACCTCTCTCCCCCTCTCCTTTCCTCTCTGAAATCAATAAACATAAATTTTTAAAAAAATGTATTAGTCTTTGTTTTAATGACATGTATATTTTCTTACTATACTTTTCTTAAGTTAGAATTCATATACTGATACTATCTTTTTAATATGCTCCTAGTTTTCTCATTTTTAAATAATTTAAGATTCAAATGTAAAGTAGGAAACAAGGAAGACTAATTAAGTATGTCAAATTTTAAAGATGTCAATTACTTTATAACTAATATTCTGCAGTTCCCATAAGAACTTCAACAGGGTGTGTTTTTTTTTTAATTTTGCAAGGTGCTTCAAAAGTTTATCTGGAAAAAAACTTAAGATAATATTGAAATAATTGAGGCATACTTAAAATTGCTATTTAAGTACCATAAATAGATGAGTAGGATGAATCCAGAAATAGATCTGAGGCAAATGTAGCATATGATAAAGGTGACATTTCAAATGAATAGGGAACATTCAGTATTTTTAGATCTTTGCAGCATATCTCTTTGTACATAATGCTTTTGACCAAAATGTGGTTTAAATAATGTTAATATTGTGTC